TTCGGGTGTTAGCATTTCAATTGCTTCAGGCTTTAGGCTTGGGCTGTCAGTCTTTGAAACTTTGAGACTTAAAGCTGTTTAGGATGCAGCGCCGATCTGCTGGGTTTAGGGCGTTTAGGGTGTAGCTTCATCCTCGACGACCCTGAGGAAATGCGCAGCCAAAGCCTGTGGACCTGGTAGTCCAGGGCGGCTTCAAGGGTTTAGGTCAGGGCTTGAGAGTTTAGCAGGGTTCAGGGTTTAGGGTTTGGACCGGGTTTGGGGGTATAGGCTATAGGGTTTTGGATGCAGGGCCTTAGATTGCCTTCCAACGACTCGGGGTTTAGAGGCTTGAGGTCAGGGTCAGGTCTAGGATGCCCTCTGTATATATATATATATATATATATATACACACACACACCTATACCCGTATTCCTACTGTGTAAGTTCAAGTTGTCGGTGTATGTGTGAGGTTCGGTTCAAAGCATCGTCAGCCCGAATTGAAGCACCTCACTGGGTCGAGACTTCTCATTCAAGACCCTACGGCCCTAAACCCTCCACACCCTAAGCGCTATACTATAGAGGCCTTAAGAATTACCAATACTATTTGGGGGGTTCCTCATTATAACTATAGAGCATAATGGGCCCCAAAACCTTATTCTACTTATTCAGGCCCCATATTAAACCCTAAACCACTGTAAACCCTAAACCCTGAAATCCCTAAGCCCTAAGGCCCGGAACCCACTTACTCTAGGGCCCCGAAGTCCTATACCCTTTAGCCTAAACCGCACCTTGAACCTCAATCATTGCGGACGATTTAGGGTGTTAGGGTTTAGGGAAGCCTTGCTCTGCTAAGCAGTCTGCTCAAGGCCTTTACGCGGCGCGTTCGCTAGCAAGGTCCTACCAAAACCCCCCCGTAAAGCTCTTATACGAACTTTGGAAAGACCTTCCAAAGCTATAAACAGCTTGAAAAGATTTTCAAAACCATTAAACATAGAACCCGGCGGTTTGCCCTTGCGGTGAGAAGCTCTGTCTGGAAGCCGGAAGCGCCTCCCAGGTACGGATGAACCCGGCTCGCCGAAAGAGGATCTCCTGAGTGAAGACAATGAGCCGACGAAGGAGCCCTGGACAGAAAACCCTAAACCCCTAAACCCTAAACCGGAAAACCTAAACCTCTAAACCCCAAGCCCCTAAACCTTAAACCCTAAACCCCTAAACCCCAAAAATGGGACTTTCGGGTTGTAGAGTTTTAGGATGTTGCCCAAGAAAACACCGAAATTGAGGCAGAAGCCCAAATCCCACAGCCCAAGAGGCCCCTTTAGGGTTTAGGGCTAAGGGTTTAGGGTTTAGGGTGCTGAGTTTAGGGCCTAGGGATTCTACCATTGCTTTCCGGGAAGATGTTGGGCTCCTCCAGTCTCTGGGCCCACTTCGAGTTTATAGGGATTTAAGGTTTACAGGGCTGCAGGGTTTGTAGGGCTTAGTTTTAGATTCCATAGAGGTTTAGGATTCAGACAGCTCCAGATGTCAGATGCAAAGGTCGGAGCACGAAGTTTGCCTTGCAGCCGCGCTTAGAGATCAGTAGGGTTTTGAGTTCAGATTCGAGCTTATCGGTCTCGGTCTGGAATTTACGGTTTATTCTGGGCACCAGCTGTGCTACGAGTTGGAAGTAGTGGTTCAACCGATAACATGAGAAGCGACTGGGGTCTGTCCCATGCACCTCTGCTGCGTACCAAAACCCACCTCCGCAATACAGATGCATTTCGGAACCAAACGCCACACTGAATGAAACAACGAGAATACGAGCACTTAAGTTGCTTTTTCTGGTAAGCTGTTTATGGCCCAAAATCTGTACGTCCGTCGCTGAGAAACAGTCTCCTAAACCTCAACGTCCGTTGACTCCAGGCGGCTGCCTCACCTGGCCGTGGCGTGTCATTCAAGTGACGCGGAGCTCCGGCCCCTGGCACCTTAGATGACGCCATGCGTATCTGTGTAGTCGAGAAAGGAGCCTTTCAAGGTCGATATCTGTAACATACAGGTAGAAGCCTGCCTCAGGCTACCTGGTTGTCACGAGAGTCCAAGATATCCCAAGACCCTGTCCTAGTTTGCTAAGGCCTTTTTTCTTCTAAACCCTAAGATATTTCTTTAAAACTCCAGTAGAAACTCAGTCTAAGTCCTAAAGCTCGAATTTTTGCTGCCGCTTTTGCCTAACACACCCGGAAGCGCAAGCCTGGCAGCATGGCCGCATAATGCGAGGGTCCATCCTCTCAACATAACCATAACCCGATAACCGCTACTCCTACAGTATCCTACAGTGCTTTGCGCTTACCTTCTAAAGGCAGCCGAGGTATGGCCTAAATATGACTGGGGCCTTAGTAGTGATTCGAACATGGCTCTTTGGAGGTGGAGGCATATTCTAGTATACTTCTGCAGGGAGTAGAAAGGGTATAGTGTTGCTAATTGTCACGAGGTATTAACACCTCTACATTACCAACAAAGCCTTTGCGAAAGGATACCTTGAGGGGTCTCCTCAGGGTGTCAGCCAAGAGCTGAAAGCTCCGAACTACTTCGAACATAGATTCGTGGGACGGATGATGCGATGTCCGCATTCTGAACCTCCAACAGCATTCATAAACCCTAGGCGCCAGCGTCTGGACCTTAACAGTAAAACAGGCTAACACACAACAAATGACCTTGAACATCCCTTAGCCCGAGAACTCTTCTTACACCTTGATATCCGAAATATAGGCCGTGGTAACTTGGATTGATTTCGGTTAGGGTTTGGATACGGGGTTAGAATCCTGGCCCAAAGCGAAGCTGCGCTTTTTTGACTCCCAAGGAGCCTTCCCTGCCTCAAAATGCAGGGTTCAGGGTTTAGAGCTTAGGGGTTAGGTGACAGAGTCCAAGTTCCATGGCATTTTACGGTCTTCCCCACCCCTTACAGCAGTAGGCCCTGAACAACACCTGAGCCATGCAAGTAAACTTCTGGGTTCAGGGGCTCAGGAATTCCTGATCCCTAAACCCTTTACCCTAAACCGTGGCTGGGGCCTTTGCTTTCTGTTCAGCCCTATGAGTACCTTTTCTTCACTGGTTAACCCAGATTTATACCCTATTGCGTATTCCCACGGGGTCACATCCAGTATGTGTTGTAACGGTTGGGTTTGGGGTTATAAGTTCAGGGTCGAGCGTCTCGGCGGTTCTCAAGGAGTGCTTTTTCGACATTACAGACCCCAGTCAAGGAAAGGTCGTGCATTTTGTGGACCTCTCCAGCGGCTTCCTGACCGGAAGACCCACAGCCCTACACCCCAACACCCTTAAAGGCCTGAGCTTAAGCCCCCAAGTCCTAAACCTTGGGGTCCACACGAACAGTAAACCCAGCACTCCGCACCACCATCAAATGACTTTGTTTCACCCAATAACTCTGGGCTTCTGAGAACTCAGAAGGCCACCTGTGACAATGCCACGGATCCAAAGGGATCTACTTGCTAGGGGCCCCCAGAAAGCAGTCAATCTGATTTATTTTGAGCTTACAAGGGGGCTTCCGGGAAGTTGTAGTGGTAATAATATCATATCCTCGCCATGGGGATATACTTCAGGCCCCTATAGTATGTCCCTGTCTTGTTTCGGGCCCCTACTTGCGTCGGTGTATTCTCACATGTTTGCAGGTGTGTTGGGGTTTGTATGCAAGGGCTTTGGAAAAAGTACCTTGCATGCCGGGGGCTGCGAGTCTCTCTTGCCCTTTGGGCTTAGTGTCCAGGGTTTGCAGTTGAGAGATTGCTGTCTGGTGCTTAGTAGGGAATGGGGGAATGGATCCCTATGGTAGTCCCTATATCGTCCCCATCATCCATTCCCCCATTCCCTACCAAGAACCAGACAGATCAGGGTTTAGGGTTTAGAAAGCCGGGCTTAAGGCTTAAGGTTTGGGGTTTTGGGTTTAGGCTCTCAAAGGAGGTTTCTTTGCTCATCAGGGGTTCAAATTGCAGTGGATTGATCTGGCCGGCACACAGTGGCTTGGCTGTGGATAAAAATGCTACCACACAGAGACCCCAACAACTAAAAGTTCAATTCTTCATATGAACTCCCCATTTAACGCACACTTTAATGGGACGTCATCTGTCAAAGTAGAAGCCCAAAGGTTGGAAACCCAGTAGCCTCAATCCCTAAGCCCTAAGAGTCCTATACTATAGGAAATCCCAGCACTGTGTGTGCTTACTCCGGTTTCCAACCTTTTGGAGTTGATTTTGACACCCGGAGCCCTGAGGCTTCTTAAGTTGTTTCCACTCTCAAGGCCCCGGGAATAAACCTGGCGCCCGGTGTGAGTGCTATAGAGGTCGGAAGAACGATTAGCAATGCCAACCGTAAACCCTAAACCGCTGAATCCTAACCCCCCCCAACTTCTAGTGTAAGTGAGACCCCTGGGCCCCACTTTAATCACGAAGGCCCCCTTTTTGCGGTGCGAGGGTTTAGGGTTGTTGAGTTTGCGGCGTGCTGTCGAAGCTGAAGGCATTTGATCAAGCTGAGAGTGCAGAATTGCACAGCAAAAGTTCCTTCAGCTAATATGGGGGGGGGGTGCATAAGTAGCACTACAGAGTAGTTACAGTGTAACAGACCGCAAAAAGAATTCTGCTAGTTTTAAGGCCCTTGTATCTTGTGGTATGCCGTGCTTAGGGGCGCCACCTCGGATCTCCAAATCCTCGAACTAGGACGACGACTCCATTGCAATGGCTGTGTAATCCCTGTCCCTTGCAGTCCTCCTGCATAAGTATGCTGTAGGTATCCCGAAGCACCATTCTACTTATCAATATGGCCCGGATATAGAAGTCTTGTGTTTAGGAAAAGCTGAGCAGCATATATAGAGAACCGAAACACCCCTAAGTACGGAATTCGTCAGGGAGCAGAACTTGAAGCCCCAATTGCCTACCGTTTTAAAGATGTGCATACATAAACCAGAATGAGCAAATCTAAAGAAGACCTCTGGTGCTAAAAAAGCGTGATCGGCTGCCTAGCATTTCACTTCGAGTGGCGCCATGCCGGTGTGGCAGAACGTCAACTTGAAGCAGAAGGCCATTGGACCCCCGAATCCTGATCCCGAGATGAAGATACAGCTGGATTAGACTAATATAGGGGCCTAAACAATTACCAACATTATTTTGGGAGTTCCTTATTTTTAGTTATAGTACATAGTATAAGGGGCCCGGAAACCCTATTCTAATTATGAAGGCCCCCATATTACACCCTCAGACTTCTACCAGCGTCTTGGAGGTCTTTAGAACCTTCTTGTAAGGCCTCCAATGGGTGGCTTTGCGGTTTGCGGCTGCGGAGCTCAATGCTTGCCCAGGGGCCCCAAAGTAGTTCCTTTTTAGAGATACCCTATAGGATTCTATATATGAACCCCAAAAAGGAACTACTTTGGGGCCTTAGGGTGAGCTCCTGAAATGACTGGCACTCTGTATGATTTCGCGTTTAGGGTCATTGGTTTTAAGTTTTGGGGCTCACATAGGAGCCATTGGTTGGAACTTCAGAATTCAGGCAACAGGATTCGGCCACAAGGCAGCTTCTTGCATACTCAGATTGAGTACGGGCGGATTCGGAAGCTGTTTTTAGGATTCAAAATTGAATTGTTACAGCAAGGATCCTACCATTTAGAGTCTACGGTGGTCCCGTCCTGCGCGCCAAAGACCGTGAGCTCTGAACTCTGGGGCTTGACTCCTTCAAAATCCCGAAGATCGAAGATCTCAAAGCCTAACCTCTGACCGGTTCAGTCGGCCCTGAGCCTTGTATGGCCTACATGCCAGGCGATCTTCGAGATCATCCAGCGAGAGGATGCCCTTTATAGGGGTCGAGGGTTTCGGAGTCAGGGTAAAGGGTTTAGGATTGAGGGTTGAAGTGGGTGAGTTCATCATCATTATGCACACGTCCAGGGACACTTCCACCTGAGAGCCATCCGGCCGATGGCTGCTTTTCGTTTGATATGGACTTTAGAATGATTAGCCTTTGCAGTGCTTTGGAAGGTTTCCTTAGGTGGCGAAGGCTGTGAAGAGGTGGATTCACGCTAGAGCCCTTTTTAATAATCGATGGGCCTAGGTATTGCTAACATTTTCATGGAATTCCTTATCATAGTTAATTCTTCTCCAACAAACCCACGACCCTATTCCATGCATTAGGGTCCCTATTGAGCTCCTTGAGTATTTCGGGTGTGAACTGAGCTCAACACAACACACAGTGTTTAGGGATTCTATAGATGATTCGGGTTTAGGCTTGGAGTGATCCCCTTCAGTATGTTGCATGTGGGTTGAGGCTTATATAGGTCACTACAACCTAAGCCCGAAACCCGTAACGTAAGCCTACACCCACAAGCCTAGTTCCTCAAGGCCTGCGTACATGGCTTACCTTGAGTGAGTAGGGAATGGGAGAATGGTAGTAATAGTAGCTATAATTGTACCCCATTCCTCCATTCCCTACTAACCAAAGGTAAGATGGCAGCCTCCATCCTGAACTTATTGCGCCCCAAACTCTGATGCCCGAAGCCGTGAGTCCTTTTGCGAGCTAAGCTAGGCCCGATACCGAAGCCCTGTAATCTAGGGGCCTACAGAAGTACCAATAATACTATTTTGGGGTTCCTGAGGTCGTAATTGTCATTGTGGTGTCCTATACCCCAAAACCTTATTCGCCTGATTCTGATTATGAAGGCCCAGTAAATCCACAAAGTTAAGCCCACGTTGCACCCTCAGACCCTTCTTCCTCTAAGAAGGAGACCGGTGACCTACCGTACTACCTGAACGACGAGGATTTGTGGGTTTGCAGTGCTGTCAGAGAGTCTGGTGCTTTCGAATTTGGATGTACGGCCATGTGAAAGGGTCATGGTGGATCGCTTTTGGGGGTGCCTGTTTCGGAGGTGCTTACAAGGGCTTGTTAAGGTCTTTCGCATGTTTTGAAGGCTTGAGGTTGAGAAGGTCCTGGAGTCGTATACGGGACCCGGCAAGTAAGTACGGTATTTTCCGCAGTTGATTCAGTTTTGTTCAACGGATGTCTGTAAATGTTTATGTCAGCCCTCATAGGGATTGCCAAAGGCTCGGTTGCGTTTCAAGTTAACTGTGGCGGGTTCTGGGTTTAAGAGACTTGTGGTGCAGGCCATAGGTGAGTATAGAGTGAGGGTACACCTGGGGGTACACTATTTCACGTTTCTGGCACTTGCAGCTCCCATTTCCCAAACATCCCTTTCCTCCCGGTAGGCCCTAGACCATGGATTTCGAAATGTTGTATGAGCCCTCGGTTTTTGGTGCACGGGGTTGTAGACATTTCATTCCTCGGATTTTGCCAGGTGATCTAAGAATTCAGGCAATCGTACTAAGACAAAAGGAGACCCTTACCTTGTGTTGCCCAAAGGCTTGCCGGCCGGTCCTTGCAGAACCCGACGCCCCAAGTCCCGGAAACCCTGCAACTTTCCGAGAGGAGTTAGACTTCTTCGTGCGCGGCCTTGCGCTGCGATCTCGGGCACCGGTCAAGAGAGGTGGGTTAAGGTTTCAGGGTCCAGGGCTCAGGGTTTAGATTATGGTCTCTATTTCGGTTTAGGGTTTAGGGTTTATGTTTCATGGTGCAGGGCTCAGGGTTTTGCAATAGGCTCTGCCAGTCGCAGTACAGGTCTAGAAATTGGCTTTTAGGTGCCATGGTTTGGTTGTAATCTTTTTCAATCTCCCATACGCCGTCATCATCTTCCTCATCCCAGGTAGTATTGAGAAACCGAACCACCCGAGTCTCAGAAGAAGATGGATTCCAAGCCCAGGTCTATGAACAAGACCTTAGCTTTGCCTACATCCACATCACGAGCCTATTGAACAAGTATCTTCAGCAGGTACATGTTAGCCCCAAAACCCTCACCCTCATCCCTTAAACCCTAAACCCGGCCTTAATCAGAAGAGCAGACCGCAGACCCACAACCCAACAAAGCAGACAATGGCATGCCATGTTTAAAGGCGCGATCCAAAATCTGAAGCCGTCCACCCACGAGCCTCCTCTCAGGTGCGGCCCGCATGCGAAGACGTACTTGCCGCAGCTTGTAGAGCGGGACAAGTCTTGTTTGAGTTTTTGATTCTTCAAACGGGGTCTACAGGGTCCTATGGGGGATTTATGACCCTTCGATTTGGCTTTCCTTAGTTGGGGTCTGTGGGGGATCTATAAGGGTGCGAGGGTTTGGGTTTGGGATTTAGGTTTTTTCAAGGACCCCTTGAAAGGAACCTTGTAGAGGAACTCTTTGAAGGAACTCCTGGGGTTTCGGTGCCTTTGGGGTCTAGGGATGGGGTTTAGGGTTTAAAGGCTACGGTTTGGGGATGTTGAGGTTTCAATGATTCGAAAGCTAAGGTTTGGGGCTGTTTAGGGTTTAGGGCTTGAGGCCTTGGGGCTTTTATGTTCAGAGGCTTACAGGCCTTTGGGCGTGGGGCCGTTATTACCTTTTGCTGTTAGCTGCTGTGTTTAAACATCTATATCTTAGGGCGTTACGACCTGCAGGGCTTCGTGCTTCATAGCTGCGGTTACGGCCTCAGAGGATTTAGGCTCGGGGATTGAGGTCTAGTTTAGCGTGCAATAAGGGAAGAAATCATTACCAATACTATCGTGGGATTCCTTACTACATTTATAGTATCGTATACCCCAAAACCCTGTTCCAGTCGGTAAGGCCCCTATGATGGTTTTCCTCGTCGCCGAGAGGACAAGCGGCCGATCTACATCGCACGGGGGTATGCTCCGCCAACGTACTCGCGGGTTGCCAGTGCCTCAGGGCGTTTTCAATTCAGGGTTTTTGAAAATGAAGAGCTGTTAACCGCCCAGGTTTGGGGTTTAATTACGCTTAAGGGTTTCTATGCTAAGCTTCGTAAACCCTACAAGTCACTCTCATTTTCCAGTGCAACGCAGCCTTCAAAGCCCTGCAACAGGAGTAAGCAATACATTTTCGAGAAGTCAAATTGGATCCTGGAGTTGAAACTACGGTGTAGGCTTCAGGGGTGCTTGACGGATGGATAGATAGAACATGATAGACCGATTGGTGTGGAGGCCCTGGGGCGGCGCTACCGGTATGAAGGTTTTCAAGAAAGGCACTTCTGCCTCTGTAACTTAGTGTTCTTGCTTGTGGCGTGGCTTGCAAAGTTCCTGTTCCTTGGCTTTTTGGGTTGCAGATTGGATTGGCTTCGTTCAAGAGAGGCATCCAGGTGTCCATGCGACACCCTCGGTCTCCACATTCTGCATCCTCGGACATTGACGTAGGTCGGCGGTGGGGTGCTCGGGCAGAGGTGTGCCCCGTTTTTCCTTGAAGGATAAAGTACAGTAGCCACAATGTTAAACGGTCCCATACCATTCAAGTAGGGTGTTGAAGGCTTCATGAGTCAAGATGACTTGTTTCGTGGAATGGAATCACAGGCTGCATTGTTGTGGCATATTACGTGGTACCTCTCGAGGGTCGTCCTTGCATTAAACCCAGATTCCCAGTGTTGGAGATTGACGGGCCTGTCGGCTTTCAGTGCGCTTCTTAGTCCTGTACGCACCCTACAGCTTGAAGTACATACAAAAGGCGCTGAAGCCTAAAACGAAACCGTTAAAACACTGGAGGTCTGCAACGCTCAAGCCCTCAAGTCTCGAGGTGAAGCTGCGCTTCTACGGCCGATGGCTGAAATACCAGATGTGGGTTTGGGTACGGTTAAAACATTTTGGAAATCAGCACTGCTGTCCCACTCGATGCCTCGTGTAACCCTAAGACGCAGTTGCTGGCCTGGATTTTGTCGTTAGGGTCTAGTTCTTGCATGCAAAATATGATCCTATCGTGCTTGACTCTTGGCGATACCCCGAACCCAATACAGCTCTAGATTCAAAGAGGTACAACGGTTGGTAGGTGGGGTAATCCGCAATAAGGGTCCTTTGTAAGGGACTTTAAGTCCTACCTACCTTCGTCCCGCCTTTTGAGGCCTCGGACGGATGCAGTTCCTTATGCCCTTAGCCCAACACCGCCAAAATCATCGAGACCCTGAACCCTGAACCCTGAACCCTAAGCCCTGCTCTGTCTGCGACCGCGAACTCTAAAGCCGAAGCACCAAGTTAAGTCTTGATGATTCGGTTGGCGCTTTTGGGGGGGCTCCGGATGAAGCCATCAGGGTGAGGGTTCGGACTTTAGCGTTTACGGTTTATCGAGCCGCGGATTGAAGCTTAGAGTATGCGTTTCAGGGTGGATGATGTCGGGCTTGGGGCTGGGTGCCGCAGACCTCAAGGCCACAATGGCACATGCTTTGTGTTCGGTCACGCCCGAATGATTGTTTTCTACTTGACATCCAAAGCCTAGGCCTCAGATCCTGGGGCTAAGGTTCAACAGACCGTAACCTGAAAGACCGAAACCTCAAGCCCTGAACCCCAAGACCCGAACGGCGACCCTACCACGGTGCCGCTGCGGCAGCAAGGACACCCGCAAGCCCTCTTTGCCTCTAAGCCCCACGGGGAGCACTTGTAGTACGAACAGTGACGGAGCGACCATCTGGGTCCTCTTTGGCATCCATTCTACCTATGTTGCGCACTGCGCGCACTTGGGCCAGAATGTCCTCCGTGGGACGTTCGAATTACAGGGTCTTGCACCCCCCTCTGAGTGGCCGGTGTGCTGGGAGCTTGCGGCCTCCTTCTTGCTACCTACAGATCCCTGAATCCTATGCCACAGACGCAACCCTCAACCTCAGACAGTGGCCTGAACCGGTCAATACCCTAAACCTTACACATCCAAGCACCAGAACCCAGGACCAGACCCGTTGATGAAGGATGCCGGGCGGCCCTCGCAACGTTTGATCTTGAGCCTTCAGGTGCTCAGGCCGGAATAGAATAAATACAGTGCAATACAATGCAATATACTAGAATATAAGATGTTCCAATGACTTGCGTTTCGGTAGGGGGTATAGGCCTGCAGCTTCGTTTGGGGCTTTGACTGAGGTTCAAAGCTTCGGGGGGATTTCCTCAGTGACTATCTGGTGCTCCAAGAGGTTTGCAGGGTTGTTCTTGCAAGTAGGGTTTGGGGTTTAGGGCGTTTAACCTGATCGTAAAGGGTTTAGGGTTTAGGTTTAGGGTTTAGGTTTAGGGTTTAAGGGTTTAGGGTTTAGGGGTTGCGCGAGGCACAGCAAGAGTACCCGCGCCGGTTGGGCGTTGCAGGTCGATGGGAGTCCTTCGGGTTCGGAGTGCGCGTGGAGGCACGGAGACTGGGGCCTTGTGTCGGCCGCGTCAGTTTTCTTCTTCCACCCGCGCCGCTCGGGCGGTAGTAACTCACTGGAATGCTGTTTGCTGCACGAGGGCATTCCGTTGGGGAAGATGGGCTATTCAGACTGGTGCAGGATTCGAGAAACAAACCGTGCGGAGGGAACAGGTTGTGTGTATGAAATGCGTTTTGATACACATGATCTCTATCCGGCTACCATCAAGCAACCTTGAGAACACGTCTGCATCCAGGTTCACCCTGCTCGCTTGGACCTGAGGAAAGAAAGGCGCCGACCCACACTAGGTGGAGACTCTGGACGATCCCATCCGAGATTCTGCGTGCACCACATTCTGCGGTTGCCGTGACAGGGGCCAGCAGATCCTGTGCACGGCGCCCGAATACCCGTCGCGGGCTCTATTTTAAGGCTGTTCGCACAAAGACGGCTAGATCGGTACAACTCCAAGCATCCGCAATTGCAAACAGGTGGACACGCCTGACCGTGTCCTCTCCTCCGCCAGCGGCACAGCAGTTGTTTCAGCAGGACCACAATCCTTGCTGCGCGATGACCCGAGGTATCCCGCCCCGATATCGCGCTCCCGCCCCTTGTCCCCGCCCTCCCCGCGCAGAAGAAGAGGGGTGATATCCTTAAGCTTTTTCGCAACGGAGAGGGCAAGGGGGCAGTAGCCATCAGGCGGGTGCACGCAAGCTCGCTGAAGGAGTAACAGGAGGGCGGCGACAAGGGGCCGGAGCGCGATATCGGGTGCGCGGGGGAGGGCGGGGACAAGGGGCGAAAGCGCGATCAGGATACTCGACAAGTATACTGTAGGTGTTGAATCTTCGTCTTTTCGATGTGTGGTCAAGCTTGACCTGTTACAGGTTGTGAGTTTGGGGATGTTTTAGGGGCAGCCCCCAAACATCCCCAAACCCTAAACCCTAACGCACCCAGCCCAAACCCTGGACCTAAGGGCCTGGCAACACGCCTTGCTTACCTGGGACTTGTCGTTGCTTTCTGATTTCGCATAGCGCTTGGGTTTTGAACTTTTCTATTGAAAAAATGTTGAACCTTAGGGCCTTAGGGTTTGGCTTTGGCTAGGGCTGGAGGGGGCTCAGGGGATTTCGGACCGTGCTTTGTGCTGTTTAGGTGCTCCGAAGCAGGCTCTTGCGTTTGCTCTGGCCTCTGAAAGGGTTCTTTGTAAGGGATTTTATTTAAGTTACCATAATAGGGATCTAGTGTAAATAACATGGTTTCCTTATTGTCGTAGCTTAAGCCAGATGTTTTAACAAGAACCCAGCTGAATGGGTGGCTCTCGTGGGTTATGGCTTATGGGCCTTGGGGTCTAAGGTCAGAGTTCTAGCCTACACCCTCAACCCCTAAACCTTCAAACCCCGGGCCCTCAACCCCTTGCCCCTAAACCCCAGGGTCAGGCATTGGCTTTGGGGTGTTGGTCTTATGCAAGCCAGGTCGAGCTGGCCAGCAGGACATGAAGGCGGGTTACCGTGCGATACTGTAGGGTTGATGGTTTAGGTGCGTAAGGTTCGGGGGTTTAGGGTTTACGGATAGCTACGGTTTACTATGAGAATACGAGCTACGATAAACGGTAATTATTATAGTTAGTTTGGAATAATTTTCTTGAAAGCTACTGAATATATTTTTGTTGTAATTCACCCCCAAAACCACGTCCTAGTTCTTACGGCATGCTTTCGCCCAACTTCTTTGAAAAGGTTTAGGGTCTGGAGATTAAGGTTTCAGGGTATAGAGTTTACCGGGCTTTAGGGAGTCAGGGAGTTTCTAACGGCAGTTGGATCGAGCACCGGCTTCGTGACCATGCTGCAGGAATAGACTGTATACTTGTAGGATCATGGGACTCAGTGAGCAGGGTTGGGGTTAGATTCGGCTGGATGTCTTTCTTTGCTATAGCTGGCTTCTTCAACTCACTGGTCCTTCGGCGATCCTACACACCATGTACAACCCTACCAACTCTGGTTTGTAAAAGCTCCACCTCCCTAAACCTATCCTTTGAGCATCATGACTCCTGGCTCGCACTCGCACAGCGCTTACGAAGGTGTCAGGATGTAGCACAGGTTTGCCCTCGGGTCCCTTGGTTTCAGTCTGAGGGTTTGGGGATTTTATATAAGAGCCTCGACATCTGGATTTCTTGTACACAGGTGTTGCTTTCAGTCGATAGCTCCTGCACTAATGTGTGGGTGCGTCCCATCACCTGAGGCATAAACCAAACATAGGGATGTCAGAAGTGCTCCTGACACGTGTAATCGGGAGGGGGCATCTCAAAAGGATGATATTAAACCAACAAGAATGTAATCAAGACGTGATGGCTTCTTGCGTCTATCGCACCAGCCAGGATTGAGCATTTACACCACCTTGAACCCTCCATCTACCGTCAATTAGACCCTGACTTCCCATCATTTGGGGCCATGTGCTCCTCTTTGAGGGTTCTGGTACTAGTCGGGAATCGATCTCGTCCCCAAGGTTGATGTCAGAGCTTCGAGTTTCCTCTGAAGGAATACCACGTCTGGGTAACCAGAGGATTTTTATAGACCCCAAGTAGTTCAAAATAGGGGTTATGTGTACGTGATAGTATGTGTATTGTACATATCATTATTATATACATAAGTGTTTGTAGATATACACATTCCTTTACTGTATTAACTTTAGACGCCGAAGTACGAATTGCCTTGTTTACTTGGCGAAGTGCAAAATACTCCCCGAGGTCCTTCCGAGAAAGCAGCGCTGCGCATGATTTACCGCGAAACAGTTGTAAATTGTTTTGTCCAGTGTATTAGACCCAGGCCCTAATGAGTCATTGAACCTGAATGCATATACCCTTCATTCCCGAGACTTGCCACTCATTGCCAGGTGAGCTGCTTGAATACATCGTCGGATGGAGGTGGCTCTACGCGTGACCCTTCCTGCATGAACGTTGGTGGCCAAAACCCCTAAGCCCTAAACCCTGAAAACCCTAAACCCTTCACCCCACCAACCAGCAGTAGAAGTCAGGAATACAGCGTTGCACACCCTGCACCCTCAAGACTCCCCAGGTTGCGGCCCTTGTAAGGGTGCTAAAAACTTAGGGTTCAGCGTTTAGGGATTCATGTAGGCCCTAAGTAGGCCAGGAGGCGCCCAAAATTGGAAACATCCCGCAGCGACACTTTCAGAGTCCCGCGATTCCCCCAAAAACTAAGCAGCCCCCAACCTGGTTCTACTATGCTCCAAGCCAGAACCAAAGCCCCCCCCAAAGGGAATGGCTAAGCCCCGAATACTGCTAACACCCTAGACCCTAAACCCGAGACCTCTAAACTCCAAAGAAAAGCCCCGACATCTCAAAACTCATGGTTTGGAAGCCCTGGGTTGCCGGGGCCCGTCTCCGGCTGAGTGCGTTTGTCTTGGCCCCGTCCCGTCTTTCAGTTCCTCCGGTTTTGCTTCTGCCTTGACTTGTGTTTCCTCCGAGAGTTGGCTTTGTGTCTCTTCTTTGCCTGGGATGCGTGTGCCTTGGCCATGTCCCCTCTCCAGCGGAACTCGTATGCCTTGGCCACGTCGCGTTTTTCTCTTCCTCTGTTCTTTCTTCCGCCTTGTGTTTCCTCGTCCGGTGTCTTTGCCAGTCTGGTTCTTCGTCTCTCGTCCTTTGTCTGGAGTCTGGGGTGCACGTGCCCACTCACTCTCACTCTCACAACCACTCCCACTCCAACCCTCACTCTCACTCGCACTCTCTCAGACAGCAAGTGCCCTGGCCAACTAGGCCACAGTTTCGAAGGGCAAAACTGGCATCCATACTCACGCGACTGACGGATCTTTCCTCTTGCGTGAAATATAAGTTTCTGTTTCCCCACTGTGGGCTGAGACGGCCATCTTGCCATTCGCAGTGCTCCGCAAAGTTTCAGGGTTGTTGTAGATATTATTTTGTTTCATTGCCTCTAGACGGGGGCTCCATGCAGCTTGGCTGCCCAAGCAGAACAGAGCAGGGCTGCAGGTTTAGGGCCTAATTAAAGCGAAAGTTTGGGGTGTAGGGCTAACCTTGAACCTAAATAACTTACTTGCCTAAGGACACTTGTATATATATATATATATATATGTCTATACTAGACACACGTGCGTGCTGCGCACGCACGTAGTGTCTGCATCACGGCGACGACTTTCTTGCACTGCGCACAGCTCAAGATGCTGGAAGAAACAGAATTAACCTACATGAGGAAGAGAAGTTGACATTTTTAACACTATCCCAACCATGGTGATCGTCGACCCTGGACGTGAGCATCGCAACGTGGTGCGGATCAATGCGCGGCAAAGTCTGGGGCTGAAGAGTTTCGGGCGTAGGGTTTGAGGCTTAAGGTTCAGGGTCTAGCAGCTTAGGGTCTTGGGTCTGAATGTCTAAGCCCTAAACCGTAAACCCTTTTTTTTGGCCCGGCCCTAAACCCTTAAACTTCAAATCCCTACTGCAAGCCTTAAACCCCTAAACCCCAAAACATTAAACCCAACACCGTAGACCCCTAAACCCTAAACCCCTCCCTGAATTCCAGAATCCTAAACCATGAACCGTCAGCTCCTTTTTACGGGCTTCCTTAAACGGGTACTATAAGGGCACTACAGGGGCACTGCAATATTCCAAAAACGAGGGAGCGCCACCAGGCAGTTACCAAGCCACAGAGACCCACTTATACATTGTTGCGGTAGCTTGAACCAAGTGCCCTGCTCTCAAGAAAACTGTACAGTAATCTCCTGACCAAGGCCACACCCTGAAAGGGCAGGAGCGGGGGGGCAGGTAGGGGGGGAAGGGTACAGGAAGCTTTTGCAATAGCTGCCCAAGCTTGCTCCTTTGTACAGTATAATCTCAAGACAAGGCCACACCCTGAAGGGCGGGAAGGAGGGGGGGCGGGGTATGGCGGCGACAACATTTTTTTTTGCATATCCCAACAATGCTAATTTACCAGAGTTTACTCCTCACGAACCCCTACAACCCTCCCTCACCCCCACCCCTTACCCCCCTCCTCTCCCGCCCTTCAGGGTGTGGCCTTGGTCTTGACAGGGCACTTGGCTCCAGCTTCCGCAAAAGTTATAGCTGGGTCGTCTAGGCTCGGACTGCACAGTGTCGCTCCCTCGTTTTTGGTGTTGTTCGTCGGAAGCTGGAGTTGTTGCTTGGTAGAGCCTCGGCAAGCTCTGGATGCTCGTGCCAGCACAACAGAGGCTGGAAGCAGACAATGAGAAGCTTCGGCAACAAGTCTGGCAGCTGACGTCGCAGCTCCAAGCTGCCGAAAATCAGCTCCTCGGCCTCTCTTGGCGTGCCGAATCCCAGAATGTAGCGCGGGAAGCCTTCTGACATAGTGCCATGAGCAGTCGGGTACAGCCGGCGGTGCGTAGATCGAGGTGGAAGTCACGCTGCTCGACCGTTTGTTGCTTGGATGCATGCATGCCCGTCAGTTGAGAACCTTGTGCAATTTCACGGCATCCAGGAATAAGACAGCCTAGCAGACCCTGTCGGACAGACTCAAAATCTACAAGGACAGCCAGCACTTGTTTTGCCAATGCCACCCGCATGCCAACGCTGCCCATCTCGGCCTCCCTGAAAACAAGCCTGCGCAGGAAGAGTATGGCCGGTTACTTTGCCACGAAGCCAAAAAATCCGAGGCCTGCTGAAAGGAACACTGATCCCCTGTGTCTTATCGTGAATGTCATCCCCCCCACACAATTAGCGGAGGTCGGATCGTGCCAGCAGCAGATACACGGAGCGGCCTGCCTCAATGAGCTGACACATTTGTGGTGGCGCACGAGTGCAAGTCTGTGCCAAAACACTCAACCCTGGACCCTGGGTGGGACCTTGCCTGACAGTAAAGGGCTGCACAACTTTTGCCAAACAGAAAGCTGATGGGGACACTTTTTGCGGTGTCAGGTGCGACTTCGAGAATTTATGGGGCTTTTCGTGCAAGACTCGTCCTGCCGTATCGTCCAAGCAATCCGTCCTTCCCTGCGTGAGATTGCGAGCATGATGCACTGTGCCATTGCGCCACCCCTGGGGCTTGGGTATAAATACAGCATGCCTGCGTTAACTTGCGTTGATTTTTGTGTGAAACTGCGTGGCCTTGGAGCACCGAAGAGACAAGCCAGCTGCAGCTGTAAATCATATTTTCTTCATATGATGCATGTGGCTAGAGCCGTGCCGCAGGAGCGAACCTACGGACGGCAAGCATGCACCTGACAGCGGTGAGGAGGCACGAGGCAGTTGATTGAGCGAGTTGAGAAGAAGCTTGGGGGGCTCTCCAAAAAGGCAAAGCCGCTGAGTGCTTTCGCACGCGGATTTCTCAGCGCCAGCCGTGCCGTGGCCTTGCCGCCTTGCCAAATGTGTTGCTGGCCTGGCTGGGTCGAGGCTTGAAGCATGAACTGGAGGCAGAAGAGAACAACTCTCACTCATATGAGAAGGCGAGAGTTCATCAGCCGCTTATTAAGATGCCCCTACTGCGCCAGAAGGTGATCCTGGCAAAGGAGCCCAAGCGTCCGTATCCAACTTCCAAAAGCGAGCGGGAGATTGCGGACGAGTTGTCCAGGTTGGTGAAGAGGCAATGCCTGGAAAAGAGAAAGTCTTTGAAGGCAGGGTGTCGCAGGCGCTTGTCCTTGGCGAGGCAAGCAAAAAGAGCTGACTACTACTGTTAGTATATGCTTCCGCACATCGTCAGGCGTTGCAGATGAAATGGCATCCTGTGTCCACTTGGCTACACGAAATTTCCAGTTCATCCAGGATCACGCAGCTTGGTGCAAATAAGGGCTGACTGGGCACTGCGATGCCAGACTCTGAGCGTCTTCAATATTTAGGCCGAACTGGCCAACCTCGCCCTCGCCTTTCTATCCCTATGCCTTGATTTGTGATCGGAGCGCTTACAGGGTTGTGGGCAAAACCCTTCGAATGGGCAGCGGGCTGCGAAGACCACGCGTGTAGATTGGGAGATCCTCAAAGACGAGATGTGCTGCGGGGCAGTGGGGCAGGGGAGCTTATAAAGCTTCTGCATTGTGCGACTTCGCCAAAATATGTTAAGGAGAATGATGTTAAAGAGCGTGGGACTGCGGAGGGGTATGATCCAAAAGGCCCGGGCCCGCAGGCCGTGCGGATGACGTGTCCATCGCTTGCGGAAGGAAGAAGACGCAGTGCAGATGTTTATGAGAACCACAGTGTGAGCCATGATTATGGCAACTCAGGAGTTGTGGCTGAAATTCCACGGCCTTTGAACGTGAAGTTTGGCAGCTTGCAGGCCTGCAAAGGGATCCGTTCCAATGCGGGGCCATCAGTTTGAGTTGTATTTCTTGAATCAGTGCAGAAACATTTACACGTATTTTCGAGGAGAACGGCAAGACTTGGCATGTGTAGGGAAAGGGCACAACAGAAAGACAGACTCAATCAGCAGAAGAAGGGATGCACATCACATGTCCAAGAATGGGGACACAGTTTTAGAGGTGAATCAGAGACAAAATTGCTACCTAGTGGCGGGAAAGCCCCAGGAAGAAGCCTTGAAACAGCAAATGGAGGAGCAACCTTTACAAGCAGTGCCAGACTGTAGATGTTGGTGCGGATATGGACGGACATGGTGGGCAAGGCGGAGGCGGGCACGCCCAAGCTGATGCTGAGCTGCTGGCGTTGAAGTGCTGAGAGCCGCGAGCCGCAGCTTGCCGCCGCTTCGCCGAAGGAAAACATGTCCAGTTTGCTGGGTCCAATGGGGGCGCATGATGCATCAAATGAGCGCAGATGGCCCTGCAAGCAGCGGCTCAAAACTAGACGAACGCAAATCACTTGTACACTTAAGCAGCATCACCGGTCGTGCCATTCAATGACAGTCCCCCCAAAACCCTGCCAACATCGCGCAAGCCTTGCGTGTTGTCACTACTGTACTGCGCGCGAGGTTTCTTGTGAGTCCTCGCGGG